ATAATTTTTAGGAGGTCCCAGTCATCTAATTTGTCTTTTGTGGTTTGTGTGTTTTCAGTTAGTTTTCATGGTGTATTTATGCCATGGAGTCCTGGTGTGGTGCTGTGAGTTAATGTGCTGGACTGCAGTCTGTTTGAACCACAAGGTTGGTGGTTCAAGCTCACCAGCTGCTCTTCAGAAACCCTATACAGGGTTGCTATGGGATGAAACTAACTTGATGGCATTTAACAATAACAACAATAAATCTTTCCCTATATTTTCATTAATGATCTTTATATTACAGTTCTAGGTTTTACATTCAGATCTTTGATCCACCTTTTTTGTATTCATTTTTGTATGTGGTGTGAGGTATGGATCCTGTTTTATTCTTCTACAAATGGATACCTAGCACCATGTGTTACAGATTATCCTAAGGTGTAAGCACCTCCCTAGTGTTAGTGTTTACCTTATAAATCCCACTACCATCAAGTTAATCCCAGCTCCCAGTGACCCCTTAGACTAGCACTGGTCCTTAGGAGTTCCCTAGACTAAATCTTTCCTGGAGCAGCCAGCCTCATCGTTCATCCATGGAGAGTCTGCTGGGCTTCAACCAACGGCTTTTCCGTTAGCAGCATTTACTGGTCTATTGTTGGGCTGACAACTGATCCCTGGGGGTGAGTTGAGTTTCCGGTCCAGAGGGGAACTCAGGGCCACATTCTCAGGGGTTCTAGAAGTCTCTGTCAGACCCGTATGCTGGGTCTTTATGATGAGACTGAGTTTGGTTCCACCTTCTTTTTCCATTCTGTCCAGGACCTCCTAACGTGATCCATTTCACAGCCGTTGGTAGTAGTAATTGGCACCTTCTAGCTCTGGTTTCCGGGCTGTGGAGGCTGAGGTTTGTGTGGGCCACTTGGACTTACTTTTTTCCATGAGTCTGATTGTCTTCACTTCTTGCTCCATGCACCAAGACACCAGTTGTTGCACCTTAGATGGCCACTCACAAGCTTTTAAGACTAGTCGCTGTTTACCAAAGTAGGATGTTAAGCCTGAGTGTCTATCTATGTGTCCACTCCTAGAGGATTGTTACTACTGCTATCTCAGGACTGGGTGTGTAATAGTATTTACAGCTGTTGTCTTTAACTCATGTGCTCCTCACAGTGGCTTCCTTTGCCTGGATCATTTTTGCCACCTTCTCCTTATTGTTTATTGCCTTCCCCTTCACCCAAATTAAAATGTGTCTATCCTGTAGCTGTGGCGCTATAGGATACGCACTGGACTGCTGACTATAGTCCAGCTGTTCAAACCCACCAGTCGCTCCTTGGGAACAGGGTGGCTATGAGTTAGAACCAACTCAGAAGCACTTAACTAACAATCATGTAGTTAGTGGTTTAATATTCTTTCCCCTCCCACCTTTGTTAACCATCAAAGAATGTTTCTGCGTGAAAACCTTTTCCTGACTTTTTTAGCTGCTTCATAGAATATTTGCCCTTTTGTTCCTGCTTTCATTCATCATAATGTCCTCCAGGTTCATCCATGTGATGAGGTGTTTCACAGATTCATCGTCATCCTTTAACGTTGGTGTAGTGTTCCACTGTGTGTGTGTACCGTGGTTTGTACATGTATCCATTCATCTGTTATGTTAGTGGGCATTTCGGTTGTTTGCATCTTTTTCTATTGTGAACAGTGCTAGGATGAGCGTGGGTGTGCATATCCCTATTCGTGTCATGCTTTTATTTCTCTAGGAGATATATCTAATAGTGGGCTTCAGAAAGTTCATGGAAAAATGCCATTATATTTCAAAATCTGTTTCCATGAAATTTTGAATCCCTCTCCCATGGTACTTCTAGTCCCACCTTTTTAAAGAAGTGCCATCCTGTTTTCCACAGCTTTACACCATTTTACAGCTCCACCAGTAGTCTGTGAGGGTTCCAGATGTTTTCCGGTTTTTGAACTTTGCTATTGATGCTGCGTGAGACAGTGTTTCGTTGTGCATTTGCCTCTCTCTAATGACGAGTGATCATGAACATTTCTTCATGTGTTTGTTGGCCTCCTGAATGTCTTTGGTGAAATGTCTATTATTCATGTCCTCCGGCCCATTTTTTAATTGGATTATTGGTCTTTTTGTTGTGTATGAAGCAAAGGTTCAGAAGCTGTTCTTAATAAATATTTTTAGCCCTACAGTGCAGCTTTGTAGTAAGTGCCCCAAAACCCAGTTTTATACTAGATAGGTGTGGCTAGCCTCTCATAGTCAGTATCCTAAGTCATCTAAAGGTTTGTTCTCTTTCTTTTTTTTACAGACCTAACTTCCATAAAGAACGCTGCATATTAAGAAAAACCACAAGAAAGTTACACATTTGGTTGTCTAATAATCTTGGATTTGATATGAACCAACACATTATCATTGTCATTGACAGACTCCAGTTTGTATGTACATTACTCACATTCCTCCTATTGTGTTTGGGGAAAACAAAGACATTTTAGCCTTTTTTTAAGGTTCTTGATTTAATTTGAAATGTTATTTGGTTGCATGAAGTTGCCCTTCCCCACGAAGGATGAGGAGGATTTGTGCACAGACTAGGACCCTTTTCTTCAGGCAGTTTAGTCTCACCTTCTCTAGCACCCTTCTCTTAAGGCAGTCTGTGCTCATCCTTCTCCTGCCTTGACCCCACCATCATCAGGCAGCACCATAGAAATTAGCTGTTCTTAAGTCATCACTCATGTGCTTAAGGATGGGATTTCCTCTCTGGCAGAACCAACCCAGGAATTAATTCCTACATCCATAATGTTGGTATACTGAAGATGAAATTAAAATTGTCCTTCAGTTCTAAGGCCATGTATGTGTAAAGTTTAACCATATTGTAAAATATCTATTCCACATTAGAAATAGCTAGTTGAGAGCTTATACTTCTCAAAACTCATGTTGTTACGTACACAGACTCAGTTTCTATATGTGAAGTTAGTGAAAGTCTTTTTGTGTTACTTCAAAATAAAGGCAGTGATTTATTTTTTTTTCCCCAATGCCAGTACAATTTGAGCTAATAACTCAAGGTGGGGACTTTACATTTTAACGCTGGAATCAGCAGCAGCCCTATGGAAAACTAGACAAAACATTGACTTTTAAATATAAACTTTAAAAAGCAACTGTTATTTTCTTTTGCAGCTAATTAGAATAGTTAAAATTCATCCCACAAACCATGATTATGTGTATATTATTGTTGCTATTGTGATAATAGAGAATTTTATTTATTTTTATGCCAGCTTATATTGTGAGAACACATTTAGTCAGTTTGGGTTTTATCAATCCTGTTATGCTTGTCCTTGGAACATCTTTTGCGTATTCGAGGTTTGTAGTTGAAAGTTTACTGTAAAAAAAAAAAAAAAAAAAATCAAAATCAAAAAAATGTATTGTTTTTACAGAATAAATCTATTGGAATGTGTACTGGGAGTAAGATTTGAGGTTGTAAGCAACTAAGTTAGTGTCATTTGGCTTCATATATGTAATAATGTGAGGTATTAATGTAATTGAGACATTAAAGCAATGTTGTTAACAGCAAGTTGACAATAGAACCAAGAGCAGGTGAGGGTTTTCCTTTTTTCATGGACACTCTGGGTTCTAGGTTATTTGAAGGCACTGTGGGAAATGGTAATGTGATTTGCTACACTTTAAAATAATCTCTCTACCAGCTCAATGAACCCCTAAATTCACACTTGACATCATCCATGCATTGGTGGTGCACCCCATTTTCTCTTGACTTTCTGTCTTGGTGAACAGTTAACAAATAACACGAAGGGTCAACGTGAAAACTTCTCAAGCCCCAAGCCACTACTAATACTGATGACGATGTTGAGGATGACAGCTGAGGGTATGAACCAATAATCTGCTTTGCACTCTGGCACACTCAGGCGACGCCTCTGTTTTGCGTTTATTTTCCTCATTCAGCAGCATTTTTTTCTTTCTGATACTCCCACCCAATTCCAATATGAAAAGCTGATAAGAAGTATTTTTTCCTTAATAAAAGTACTCTTTAATGTTGAAAATTAATTAAAATTCATCAAAAGACCACTCCATTGCTCATACTTAAAGCATAAGGAGAAACTAGATGACATTGTGAACTTGAAAATATGAGGGTGAGTCAAAAATTATCTGCACTCTATAGAATTTATTTTAATCAACTTTTAGAAAAGACAATTACATCATTTTTGGCATAGTCTCTTTGCTTTTCAATACGCTTTGTCCATCTGTCAACAAGCTTTTATATTCCTTTTTAAAAAATGTTTTAGGCTGAGCTGCAAGTCACGAATGTACCACTGTCTTCACTTCTTCATTAGAGGAAGTGAATCTTCGTCCTCAAAGGGCTGCTTTCAGGGGACCAAACAAGTGAAAATCCAATGGAGCAAGATCAGGACTACAGGGCGGATGCTTTACCACCTCAAAAATAAGTTTCTGTAGTGTCAACAGTGTGGGCAGAGGTGTGGACGTGCATTGTCATGCAAGATCACAATGTCCTAGGATAGCAGTCCTCTGCATTTAACCCCAAGTTTAGGCTTCAGCTCTTCAATGAGCATCTCACTGTAACGAGCACTGTTGACTGTTGAACCTGTTTCCTGATAGTGTTCCAATACTGGCCCTTGAGAATCCCAGAAAACTGTAAGCATCAATTTTCCAGCTGATGGTTGACTTTTTTAAGTTTTCATTGTGATTTGAGTGAAAGTTTACTGAGCAGATCATCAGTTTTGCATTCAACAAATCATATACTTTGTTTCATTACAATGATTATAATCCCCATGTACCATCAGTTAACAGTATTTCTCTATATTCATTTTAGTTCTTTTGTTTTGTTTTGTTTTAAACATTTAGGCATATATAATAATTGAAACCACCAAAGGGCACATTCCGCAAGTCTGCCTCCTGGCCGCCAGCTCTTAGTCCCTCTAAGCTGCTCCCTCTCTCCATGTCCCCGTCTCTGCCTCCATCTCTGGTGTCACCACTTCTCTGGATAGGGTCCCACGTCCCTTTTGTGCTCATCTCCCTTGATGGTCCTAGGGTCTTCTATTACTGGACTGTAAGATTAACTACTCCCCATTTTTGTTACAACACTTCTACCTTTACAATTGTGACAGTTGGCAATTAGTCATGATAACAGGTAGTCACTATTGAATCATAAGAATCTTATCCCCATTTCTTTTCACCAGACTTGATGGTTAAGTTTTGAACCTTTTCTTAGTCTGCGATTGAGGATGTTTCCATTCCATATTTTGCTGTTTACTCTCAGGCTCATAGTGATGAATCCATGTCTTGTCACCAGTAATGATTTTTTAAAATATGAAACTTCTACCTTCCTTCACGTATCCATCCAAATTGTGTTTGCAGATGTCCAAACGCTTCTGTTTATGCTCTTCCATGAGGTGTTTTGGTACCCATCTCACACAGACTTTTGGGTAGCTAAGTCTGTCATGGATTAGTTCACAGGCAGAGCCATGGCTGATTTACAAATGATTTGCCACATAATCCACTGTCTCTTGTCTGTTCGACAGAATCATTTCATGTGCATGCTCAGTGTCGTCATCAGCCGTACACATGGACGGGCGTTTTAATATAACCGAGTGCGGATAATTTTTGACTCAACCTCGTATAACTGACAGATGTTTAAAATAAAAAGCCAAGACTATAAAACTTGTCATTAAAAGTATGCAAAATGTTTCATGTAATAAAATTTGTCTTCATAAAACACCAAATGTAATAAAATTTGTCTTCATAAAACACCAAAAAGAATTTTTATTGAAAATATACACAGAAACACAATAGAAATATTATCATCAATAAAACAAATATTTGTTAAGGGTAATAATTATCATTCTTTAGGTATTTAGATTTACACAAAAAAAAAAAATCAGTAAAAGCAATTTTCAAAAACATTTGATGAGCTGTCTTTTATACTGAGACTGACAATGAAATAGCTTACAGGCAAAAATTCTCCAATCTACATTTGCTTTTTTGAATTCTTAAATATGCATAAACCCTGTCCATTTGTACAATTTCATCTTCATGCTCACTGTCGTAGGAGCTAAATTGTAATGTTCCACACTAACAAGTATTTCACGTGTACACACAGTAGTGAGATACATGGTTAGGGTTATTTACAAAGAATTTAGATTTCTTTTCAGAAACTGTTTCTCAACAACTTTGACTTTTCTTCAGAAAAGGACAAAACTTGACCTGCACAATACCATACTATAGGCTCACACGTACAACAGAGAGCAAGAATCAAGTGTACGGGCAGGGAGGAAAATGGTACATTACATCAGTACCAATATACCCAAAGCCAGCAATCTAGAGAGAAAAAACGTGAAGTCATGCTTTCATTCAACTTTTTCATCGGCCTTTGTTTTTATGAAGAACTCGGGTTTGTAGATACAACGATAGGCCAAAAGCTGAGGAAGAATTCCATAGGCTATGTTTAATATTAAAAAAGCAAGTTTCGCTTCTTCAGGGACTCGGTAGACATAAGCAGTTCTAGCATGAAGAGAAGCACCAATGTGGGAAAACTGAGCCTGTTGTATAAAACAAAAATGGGTAAGCATGAGATTGATGCTTAGATGAATGTACAGTGAATTCCGAATGGATCATTCAGACAGACCGTGATGTGTGCTCTCAGAATGAGTCTCACCTGTAGGCAAAGTACTTTCAAACAATCCAGTCCTTAGTGTTTTACTGAACCTAGCATCATTCTTGATATAACTGTTGAAATCAACTCTGCCTTGTTTGGTGTGGCTGTATTATGGCAGCTATGTGTTTACCCATTCCAGTGCCCTATACCAGACACTAGACTCCTGGGTTGGCGCTGTAGGATCAGCATTGGACTGTGAACCACAAGGTCAGCAGTTCAAACCCACCAGCTGCTCCTTGGAAACCTATACAGGGTCACTATGAGTCGGAACCAACTCGATGGCGACCAGTGGCTGGGTTTTCAGAAACAGAGCACCAGGCCTTTATTCTGAGGTTCCTCTGGATGGATCTGAACTTCCAAACTTTAGATTAGCACCTGAGCACCTTAACCGTTACCATCTAGTGACGTTACCACAACCGTTACCACATTGTGGTTCAATTTAACCAAAAAATTTGAGTAAAATCTCAACTTCTCTTCTTCTTATATGCCATCTGGAGACTCTACATAGGGACCTAGATGAGGCTTACACTTGTGTTTCAATGCAAATGAGTAAGAATTCAGAAAGCTGAACTCTTTTTTTAGCTATGGAGAAGCACTGAGAGAAGCCATCAAAATGGCTTCATTTTGTTCAGTCTTTCCTCTACTTGTTAGGGCAGTAGCTCAAAGCCTTCTCATTCTGGACATTTGTTTATTCATTTATCTGTTTTTCATACAACTTAAAAAAAAAAAAAAAAACAAGAATTGTGTTGTAAGATTACCAACTTGGAGAGGGAGGAGGTAGTATGAAATGGAAAAGTACTTGCAGGCAACTGTTTTTAATCAGATGACTTGGAATTATGAATTGTTGGCATCATCTGAATTTGCAAAATAAAAGAAGGAAGAGCCTCTACATTTGTATCCTTGTGCAAAACACATTCAGGATGTGCTGATTGGTCTTTTTTTAAAAATAAGCATGAGGGAAAGGGGAATGCAGGCCACAAACAGGATTAGAGACTTCTCTGAAAGGATGCTCACGTCATTACAAAATGCAACCCCAGAGTCTGCATTTTCACATCTTGCCAAAACTCAAGATACACTTGAATAAAAGGATTGGGAATTTAAATCTACTACTCGGTAAATTATTAGTCCATCGGGATCGAAGTGCAGAGACAAAAGACCGTGCAATAGAAAGAGTACAGAAGTAACAAGAAGGAAGAACTAAATACTTTGCTTTAAATGCATAAAATCTACCTTCCCTATGAACTCAATTCATTCTGCTAAGTGGTTCACAAATAAGTGTGACTTACCATTTAAGTCACCATGAAAAGAATAGGACAAGCTTTCATAAGCATTTTCATGTATTTCTGTCAGTGGCAGATACTTTAACAAGCTGTAATTTTACAAATTACTGATAAATTCTGGGGACCTGTGGTACTTTTTATTGGGCTGATCCCTACAGATAGTAGTTATAAATTGATGTAATATGTTGCAAAGAGCTACCAACACCTCTGAGTTGTGATCCTTGAAGCCCTGATAGTGACCTGCCTTCAGGCTCACCCAGCAAATGTGAAGTAAATTAAGCATTTGCACCTGGGGGTGGTGGTGGAGATTAAAGTGGTTTGGGGCTTGCCCTGAGGAGCCACCTTGGAGGACATTCAGGAATTGAACAGGCGCTTTGCCCACAAGCCAATAGTTTTCCCTAGGGCCTGTTTTGAATAAGAGGAGTTTACCTAAAAAGTTTAAAACAAAAAATGCCTAGAAGTATATCCAAACTTTTTCTTTCATACTAAAGCCCAGATTTGAAGCCTGGAATTCAGAAATGAAGGTTTGGTGGCTCCCATCTTTATAGACACTTGTACACATCACAAAATCATTCAATTTGGGAAATAATCAGCCATACTTTGAGAGAATAATAGGAACAACTGTGCCTACTTGCATAGGGAAACCTGGTAAGTAGCCAGCGTGAGTCCATAGGCTGTTTTCCTGCACTAAACAGTGCAGTTAATACCTCATTTTCATGAATTACAAACTCACAACAACATTAAAAAATGGTTCATGTCCATAGGTTAGATTGTAAGCCCCCTGGGCAGGTACTGTGTCTGATGTTGTGTGTGGCACCTACCACATTGTTAGAATTCAATAAACGTTCCAACAATAATGGTCTTGTGACTGTCAAAATACAAAATGTTCTACTAAGCATTTTTATAATTGTTTATCTATTCTAGTAAACCCTTTTTATTTAACAAGGAGCAAAAATTACAACATTATATAATGAAAAAGTCCCAAGGCCAGTTGTCTGCAGTTACGTTTACTGATGGCAGTCCTAATGGGCATATTCATGGTGGTCACATGCTCTAACCATAACTTGGCATAAAATGTCAAGTTTTCAGAGTCTGAAGTGTTAGAAAAACCCAAGACTACAGTTCTTGTGTGGTGCTGTAGGAAAAGCACTGGACTGCTAACCACAAGGTCGGCTGTTCAAACCCACCAGCCACTCCTTGGAAACCTTATACAGGGTCGCTATGAGTCAAAACTGACTTGATGTCACTTAAGAACAAGTTATTTGGAGATAACAGAAAAACCTAGGTCTCACCTGAAGGAAGTTCCCTTTCCAAGCACCTAACTGGTGAGGGGCTTGCAGGTCTCCTGGGTGGTGTTCCCACCAGAGCAGGAAGCCTCCTTGCACCTGGGCTTGCGTCTGGTTGGGGATGGGGTGACTGAAGAGGGTTACTCCTTACAAAGACAACTTAGATTCAGCGATGTAAACTTGAATCCCTGCTGATTTCTCTTCTGGTTCATTCTATGTCATTTTTCACCTTAAATAATTTAAAGGCATACTTTATTCTTACTTTTTAGAATGGATCATTGAAATGGTACAGGAACTGAAGCAATAATGGAGGGAGGTGAGTTAAATTTTAACAGCTTTGCTCTCCTACAGAGACAACTTGGAAAGGGCTACTAAAATTACAATCCTGGCTCCAAAAGGGAGAGGCGAAAGTGTTTTCAAGTGCCCCTGTGAATACTGCAGGCAAAATGCAACATGACCATTAGGGCCATGAACTGACTGTTGGGTCCATACAATACACATATCCGTCTGTCCGTCTAATCCAGAACCATGTTGGCATCTTTGAGTCTTCTGGGCCACACACTATAGTGGCTAAGAATACTGACTCTGAAATTGGAGTTCTTGTTATGTGCTGTTGAATCGGTTCCAACTCATAGGGACCCTGAATAGGGTTTCCACAGAGCGGCTGGTGGGTTTGAACGCTGACCTTGCAGCTTGCAGTTCACTGCTTACCCTACAGAGCCACACCAGGGTCACATCTCACCTCCACCACAAACTAGCTGTATGACCTCTATTGGAGTATCTATCATAAAGGAGCCTCAGAGGATTGTTAAGAAGATTGAATGAGTTAATATGTATTAGGTGTTTAGTGTCCAGCACATGGGGCTATCAGATAAAAATATACAATTCAACTGAACTGTTTAATGATCTGGCTCTCCACTTTGCTGTAAACCAGGGCTCCTTGGTTCCTTTCATGATCCCCTTGTTGACCTTTTGACAATTTCAAGACCTTCACCACTGTGTCTACCAAAGGATAATAAGTAAAGATTAAACCCAAACTAATAATCACACCAAAAGCAACGGATTCAAATGGGGTTTTGCATTGTTGTTATGTGCCGTGGAGTCAGTTCCGACTCATAGTGACCCTGGACAGGGTTTCCGAGACTATAAATCTTTACGGGAGCAGAAAGCCTCATCTTTCTCCTGCGAAACAGCTGGTAGTTTCGAACTGCTGACCGTGAGATAAGCAGCCCGATTCGTAACCACTATGCAGTATTCCAATTATCCATGTTCTTCCTAAATCTTTCAGATATTTTTTAAATAAAGGAAAAAGTTATGAGAGTCACCTTTAGCTAGGCAGCTCTCTGCAACCAACATGTCTACAGAGAAGCCCCTAGTCCCCATGTGAGAAAGTGCACTGCCTGCCTTTAGTAGTGGTAACCAGGAGACTACAGGGTGTTACTGGGTGGGGTGGCAGGCTACCCACCAAATCCACTGTAATCTTGTCTTAAAGCTTTTTCCCAGTATCTGATTTGTAGGTAATTATAGTGTGGTGCTGTAGAATAAGCACTGGACTACTAACCACAAGGTTGGTGCTTCAAACCCACTAGCGCTCCTTAGAAACCCAATACAAGAATCCACTAGAAGGCACTTAACAACAACATACATGTGGTTTAATTAGCTTAATTGTTTAAAGATTAATGAAAAGATCATCTTAGTGACATAAGGTATTTCTCTTCCAGACTGTCAACTATGAATCATAAACCAAGACAAGAAACAAACCCACCGCTTTTGAATTGATTCAGACTCATAGCAACCTTATATGTGGGTTTCCAAGACTAAATTTTCATCGGAGCAGGCAGCCTCATCCTTCTCCCATGGAGCAGCTGGTGGGTTTGAACCATCAACTATGCAGTTAGCAACTCAATGCCTAACCCACAGCACCACCAGGGCTTCCAATAATGGCAACCAGCAAAAGGCTACGGAGCTTAGGATGTGCCATGCACCCTTTTCATCCATTAATTCATTCAATCCTCATAACAACCCTTATTATCCCCACTTTACAGAAGAGAAAGCAAAGGACCAGAGAGACAAAGTAACCAAGATCATTCAGTTAATTGGTAGTAAGCTGAGATTTGAATTAGTCCATCCTAAAACTAGCCCATGTTGTTAACCATTTGGCTCTTAAGTTTTTTGTTTAATGTTTGGTGATGGTGGTTATGTGCCATCAAGTCGGTAGATCCAACCTGCTGATCTTTCAGTTAACAGGTCAACTCATAGCCCACTATGCTACCAATGATGCTTTGTTGTTGTTCTTGTTGTTGTTGTTGTTGTTGTTGTTAGGTGCTGTCAAGCCAGTTCCAACCCATAGCAACCCTGTGATAGGATTTCCTAGGAACTGCTGGTGAGCTTGAACTGCCAACCTTTTGGTTCAAACCAAGTTTGCAGTCCAGCTCATTTACCCACAGTGCCACACCACAGAAAAATTCTTCAGTTGATATAAAATGCCAATAAGTGGACCAAGCCCGTAACATTTTTCAAATTAGACTTTGCAACTTTAATCCTATGGTAAGCATTTTGGATGAAAAGACACTTATGGTGTGAATGTTGAGCATACCTGCTGGAACTCTTGGGCATAACTTGCACCCTCATTTTATTTTTTTCGACTCTTCATTTTTTATTGTTTTTTTGATTTCTGGAGGCAGAAGATTTGTCAGACTTACAGGGTCTGAATGCAGGGACCTGTACGCACCCAACATGTTTGAGTTGACCATGCACTGATTTAGTTTTTCAGTGAATTTTTTTGGGGGGTCCCATCAAATTGCATAGACTCTTAGAGAGTTCGCTGAAGCTTTGTCTCCGATCAGGTTTTCATAAAGGGAAGTTCCTGGGGCTGTCAATGCAAAAGCCCCAGGACAGGGACGGCTGTTCTAACAAGTGAGGGCCGTTGAACAAGGTAAATGGAGCAATTGGCAGATGCCATCCTAAAATGAGAATCTTTTTCACAAGAATTTGGTAAGCAGAAAACAAATCACTTAACTGGAATTCAACATTCTGATCGTATCCATTGTTTTGTTGCAATGTGACTGCTCAATTTTCCTTAGGCACTGTGGGTTAATGAGCTGGATTGCAAAGTCGGTTTGAACTACAAGGTCAGTGGTACAAGTTTACCAGCTACTCCTTGGAAACCCTATACAAGGACGTTATGGGTCAAAACCGACTCCATGGCACTTAACAACAAACACTACACAGATTAACAGTAAAGTCCAGCCAACAATCATGGGAATGTCTGACAACTGAAAAGGTCATTCTTCACCTGCTGGGGTGGTAGAAACATCCTCTGACATTTCCAGGGTCTTCTTCTTGGAAACCCTATACAGGATCGCTATGGGTTGGAATCGACTCAAGGGCACTTTAACAACAGCTCCATCCTTAGTCTGAGCATCAGGCTGCCTTGTCAAACTTAGCGCAATGATGGATAAGCCCAACCTACAAGCCTGGGACCCACCTGAAGCAGCCACTTTTGCCAGTTGCTCTGCAGACCACTCTACCTTTCCTAGAGCCTACCAGCTGGAGCCACAGTGAGTGCCCACTGCCAGCTTAGCCCCACTAGCAGCTAGGGTCTGGCATTAGTTAGCTATGGACTCAGGCTGTTTCTCCAAGCTTAGACCTTCCCAAACTCGCACTCCGAGCAAATCTCATCCTCTAGAAAAAGGGACAAAGGAGGAGTGGGCTGAGTATGAGGGCCCCTGTCCTGGAAGACAAGATCACCAGGACACGAAAACAAAAGCTAGGACTGACTGTGTGTGCCCTGATCTGCTGCTCATTCCCACATTAAATGCTTCCTCTTCATCCAGTGTTCTGGGGAGACTCAGCTGTCAGCCCCATCCCGAAGGCTCTCCAACTCTCCCCCGTGTCTGGTACAAAGTCTGGTAGGACTCTGTGCTGTACCTAGTTATTGGCATGAGATGGGGAATAACAGTGCAGATGAACATGGGCTTGGAGTCAGGATTTCATATCCCTTTGGACTCCTGGTGTGGCACTGCAGGATAGGCACTGGACTGATAACCACAAGGCTGGTGGTTCAAACACACCTGTAGCTCCTCACAGAAACACTACACAGGGTTGGTATGCGTTACACCGACACCACGGCACTTAACAAGATTCTGTCATTTAACAACTATGTACCCTTGGGCAAGTCACAAGCTGTCCTGAGTAAGCCTCATCTTCCTCATCTGTAAAACGGGGGTAAAAACAGCTATGGCAAAGATCACGCTATGTGTTCAGCTAGTTTCGTCTTCTAAGGCACACAGAAACCACATTTCCCAGCTCCCCTTGAAGTTGGGTTGGTGCCAGGCCTGACCTCTGAAAATATCCCACGTGAACTTTGCGTAAGCAAGAACTAAAGCTGTCTTTGTTACTGAATGTTAACTGCCACAGGACACATAGTCTATCCCTACACCAATAAGTAGGCGAACACTTAGCACTGCTTGCCTGACGTGGAGGAAGAGTATGAGAACTCAGACTAGAGCAGCTGGGAGAAATGACGGATCTAAGAATTATTCTGAAGGCAGAGCTAATGAATCGTAGGTGTTGGGGCAGGGGCGTTTGCGGCCAGGAGGTGTGAAGAATCATGCCAAGTTTTTAAATTGAATTGCTAGACACGAGGTAAAATGGAAGAGAAATAGGGAAAATCAAGGGCCCTATTCTAGACATTAAATCTGAGATGATGAAATTAAGTTTGGAAGTAAATCTGGGAGCCATTTGGTCTAAAGATAGAAAACTAGAAACCACCAGCTTAGTATTTAAACCCAACTACTATGGATTCTGAAGGAGCTCTGGTAGCGTAGTGGTTACGAATCGGGCTGCGAACCTTAAGGTCAGCGGTTTGAAACTACCAGCCGCTCCGCAGGAGAAAGATGAGGCTTTCTACTCCCGTAAAGATTTACACCCTCGGAAACCCTGTACAGGGTCGCTATGGGTCAGACCTGACTCGATGGCACTTAACAACAACAACAACTATGGATTCTGACTCAGGGACCCTATAGGGCTCAAGGCTGTGAATCTTTAGGGAAGAAGAGTGTCACAGCTGTCTGCCATGGAAGAGCTGATGGGTTCAAAACACTGACTTTTCAGTTAGCAGCCAAACACTTAACCACTGTGCCACTGGGGCTCCTTAAAGATAAGGAAATAAATGAAAACCCAAACCAAGGCCTGAAAAATTCCGATGTTCTCAAGGAGAACCACCACCAAAGAAGACTAAATGTTTACTCCTCTTCCCTGTAAGTCCTTACAGACAGGAAAGAGCAAGGACTCCATTACCTCTGGAGACGGCATCAACTTTTGTTATACTAATATTCAAATTCTACAATTTAGCAGTACCTCATACTGGGAGCATCTGTCCAATAACCCCATAAACACTGTATTCGTCAATCCTATAAATTCCAGCATATCTTTTTGCCACCATGGTTACTGTACTATGAGTATAACTAACCACTGTTGCCTTGAAAGGTGAGGCTTTCTGCTCCCGTAAAGATTTACAGCCTCAGACACCCTATACAGGACAAGGTCACTATGAGTCAGAACTGACTCAACAGCATTTACAACAATGCCTAGAGTTTCCGGGGGAATGATCCTATGGGCCAGCTTTACTCTGTCCTCGATAGGATCTCTATAGTCAGGCAGCAGCCAACAACAACCCTCAGACAGTAAGCACAGAGGTTTTCCACATATCCAACAGTAACAGCTAGACCATCAGTAGACTTGCTCAGTAGGTGGTGGTGGTGGTGGTGTGCCGTGATTCTGTTCCAACTTGTAGCGACCCTGGTATAAGATTTCTGAGACTGTAAATCTTTACGGGAGCAGAGGTCTCATCTTTCTCCCATGGAGTGTTCAATAGAAAAATATCCTAAATACCTGAGCTAGACCTCCAGCATGTATCAGGGTTACGTCAGGCATCCAAGAACATCCAGGAACCACTAAGCCATAAAGTGCGATCACAAAATAAGGGAGAGAATAGAACATATAGACCAGCATCTGCAGCAGAAAAGAAAAAGAACATTATCAGCAAATGAACAGTTCATTGAAAATTACCAAAAAATCAGCATTTCCTTTTTCAATTTGTTTCTTTAGTCCATAGGACTACATTTACCCATTTAAAAAATAAATTCTAGAAAAATCTTAGGCTCCATAAAATACTTGACCTGAATTTTAGGATATGCAGCAGGATCCTTTAGGTAGGGTTCTTGAAGTTGCGTATATAATCGGCAAAGCTCAGCGGGGCAATCCAAAGCAATCTAAGAACAAAAGTGAATTCATGTTGGTTGATGATGCAAGGAGGGGATTATAACCATGGCAGTGAAACGATATACAATAGGATGAATGTAAAACTAATGTTCTCCCATAACTCACAATAAAACATAACTCATAACTCACAATAAAACATAACCCATAACTCACAGTAAAACATAACTCATAACTCACAATAAAACATTACAAAAAAAAGAAGCAGAAGAAGATGGAGGCCTCATATTTTACGTCATGGTCCCAGAAACAAAACTCAAAATCATAAAAAGACCTGTCTAAAGACCATCAAGAAGGAAGAGCATGAGATCCTACCTAGAAAAGCGGTGAAATCAGAGATGGTTGCAGAGGCATTGACATGGAAAGACAGAGCAGCGGAGGACTGAGAAACGCTGTGTGACCTTGGCCAGAAGGCTGTCTAGCAAAATGTACTCTTTGGACATTTAAATGAACATACGTATTTTTGTTTTGTATGTGTACATAAAAAAAAAAAAAAATGAATTCATTATAAAGATACAATCACATTTGGTTCTTATCTGTGCTGGTAAGGCTAAATGTGCCAGATTTCGTCACAGGTACATTGCTATTTAACAAAAACAATAAATGCTATTGTAGAAGCTCTTTGGCAAATTGAGAGGTACAAAGAAAATACTCTACGGATTGACTTCACAGAGACTGCTGTGAAACTGCAATCCAACTCATAGCAACCCTGTAGAGGGCTTCTGAGGAGCAGCTGGTGGAGGTGAACTACCGACCTTGTGGATAGCAGTCCAGTGCTTACTCCCTACAGAGATTAAGCAGAGGTTCATAGTGGGGCAGGAAATGGAAACTGATGTTCTAGTCTCAGGGATCTTCAGAATACTCTGAGATCTTAAGTGGTGGTGATGTGCCATGGAGTCGGTTCTGACTCATAGCGACCCTGTACACAGTTTCCGAGGCTATAAAACTTTACAGGAGCAGAAAGCCATATCTTTTTCCTGTGGAATGGCTGGTAGTTTCAAACTGCTGATCTTGAGGTTAGCAGCCTGACTCGTAACTACTACGCTACCAGAGCTCCTTGGCTGGTACATTGGGTATGGGTTAATTAAATGTTTGACCATATATCACAGGCTGATTTTTAAGTTGATAATTTTGTATGGCCCGTGAATGTTAGAAATTTTGGCAGAAAAAAGATTCCCCCAGAGTCCTGGTGTGGCGCTGTAGAAGAAAACTTCCGTAATATCATGAAAGATGAGAAAATAAGCATACAAGCAGAATACATCACAAAAGAAAATCACTAAACATATCATAATCAAACTTTCCAAAATAAAAGACAAGGAAAGAATCCTGAAAGCAGCTTGGGAAAAATGAAAAATTACCTACAAAGGAAAACCAATAAGACTAAACTCTGAGTTCTCAGAAGAAATCATACAGGCAAAAAGGCAATCGAATGACATATACAAAACTCTGAAAGAAAAAGATTGCCAAGCAAGAAACATATACCCAGCAAAGCTGTCCCTCAAATATGATGGCAAAATTAGGGCATTTCCTGATAAACAGAAATTAAAGGAATTTGTAATGACCAGACCAAATTTTATAAAACATGCTAAAAGGTGTTCTTTGGACTGAGAACCACAGCAGACCGTAACTTGAGACAATACCACCCAGAAGTCAATCCAGATATAGAAGTATTTAAAGTAAAACAAACCTATAAAATTGAAAATAGGGAACCAGAGATATTCATAGACTAGAAGGTAGATACTTGTTAACATGGGTGATGTGGCGGGAAATATACAAGAGGAAGGTTATCAGAGGAAAGAAGAAAAGGTAGCAGGAGACACGAGAGAATGCGATAGTTAAAGTGAACAGAGGTAAATGCTGTTAAATACACAGACGGGACTGCAAACTTGACGTGAAGCCAAGTATATGATTGGTTGAATGTAAAACTGACCTTCACTCAATTCACAATAAGAAGGTTTGGGGGTTTTTTAAGAGAGAGGAAAAAAAATGTATTCTTTTGTTGTTGTAGTAGTTTTGACTACTAATCAGAATACATTTTAACAAGATCCCCAGGTGATTCTATCTGGGGATCTTAAAATTCACCTGGGATCTTGTTAAAATGTAGTTTCTGAGACTGAGACTATACCCATGAATAGGTGTGAATGAGGATGTTTATATATATACACACACATCTATGCTGCAAATATATCCATAAATAATATGGTGGAGCATTCAGAGAACAAAGTTATGACAATTTCTTAGATATAACCAGACACCTTGAGAGAATGAATTGCTGGGCCTCGGGGCTCAGGACCATAGTCTTGGAGGAGACCAAGATCAAACAGGATAGCACAGTCCACAAAGAATGTTCTACATCCTACTTTGGTGAGTGACAACTGGGATCATCTAAAGTGCAAACATCTGGTACAGAGAAGATTGAAGAAAATCAAAGACACGTGGGAACAATTAGTCCAATGGATTACTGGACATCACGAGCCTCAGTCTCCATGACCCTGAGACCAGAACATGATGATGTTCGGTTACCACTACCAACCCACTCTGAACGGGATCGTATTAGATGGTCCAGGATAGACTGGGAGAAAAATGTGGCACAAAACTCAAAATCATTTAAAAAAAAAACAAACAAACACGGTTTACTGATCTAATGAAGACTGGTGAAACCCCGAGATTATGGTCCTTAGTCACCTTTCAGGCCTGGAACTGAACACACCCCCACGGGGCAAATTTCAACCAAACCATAGGAGCTGTGCCCACCTAGAATTCAAGCCTCCGACCCTTTGGTTAGTTGTTGTTGTTAAGTGCCGTCGAGTCAATTCTGACCTATAGCGACCCTGTATAGGGTTTCCAAGGAGCAGCTGGTGAGCTTGAACCACCAATCTTGGCTCAGACAACTTTGCAGTCTGACGCATTAGCCCCCAGCACCACACCAGGACTCCTTTTGGTTAGTAGCCTGGCATTTAATTGGTTGTGCCACCCAAGGACTCCAAAATAAGGAAAGGAGGCTACTTCTGGGTAGAACTTGGTTTATAGACATGAAGACCAGTAGTGTGGAATGACCATGGACAGACCCTGCCCCCTGGAAGTAGAGGTTGGGGGTTGGGAGTGGGAGAGGCACAGGAAGCAGGTTTGAGCACGCTACGTTCTGGCAGCAGGAATACTGTAACTGTGCTAGGAAGTCCAATAAAAAAACTTCCTCCCTCCCCCCACCTTTTTTTTCCCATTTCAAACCCTTGTTACGTGCTGTTGAGTCGGTTCTGACTCATAGCGACCCTGTATAGGGTTTCAGAGAACAGCTCGTGGGTTTGAACTGCCAACTTTGTGGTTACCAGTCCAGTGCTTATCCTACAGAACCATCATTGTTGTTAAGTACCATTGAGTCAGTCCTGACTCATAGTGACCCTATATAGGGTTTCTGAGGAGCGGCTGGTGAGCTTGAACCACTGACCCTGAAGTTCAAACGGCTTTGCAATCTGGCACATTAACCCACAGCGCCACACCAGGACTCCTATAGCACCATAGTAGTATAACAATTAGAAATTAATATTACTTTCATCTGTTATGCTTACCAAGCCTCTAAACAAACAAAATCCAGCTGCCAGGACGAGGCACACGACCAACATGAAATCAAACGGTCTTCTCAGCAAGTCCTTGGCTTGAGCTTCTTGGACAACCTAAAATAGAGTTTGTAATGACAGAGCAGACACGACATGCCAAAGAAGACTCTAAAATCTACTGCAGCATAAAAGCCCTGCTGACCAGTAATGAGAGGATTTTGAAGAGAAAAATCATTTCTCAGTTTCCTCATCTGTGAAAGGAGGAGACTGGGCCAGGTGGCCTCACAAGGCTCTACTGGCTTTCTGATTGCCTATGTTTTTTTTCTTGAAATAACACTTTGTGATTATACACTTGTTTGAGAAAATAAAAAATAAGTAAATAATAAATAAGCCTGTCACATAACACAATTAACAGAAGGTATACTTTTCTGGTCTTTTATTCTGTATCTCTCAACCTATGCGTATTTTTTCACAAAATTAGGACTTAATGTAAACACCATTTTGTATTTCTGCTTTTTGCACTCAAAATTTATTTATACTAAAAACACTTTGCCAGATTATTAAAAATTCTTCTAAAACTCAATATAAATAGCTGCACAATAGTCCATCATATGACAAGGCTTTCTGCTCCTGCACAGATGTCTCGGAAACCCTGTACAAGGTCGCTATGAGTTGGAACTGACTCGACAGTGCTTTACAACAACAATGTTCTATCATATGGAAGGCACCATAAGAAGAGACTGTCAAAAGTTCATAGAAAATGGAATTAAAAGATAATGGAATTAGTCCATGAACTTTTTGAAGACCTCACGTACTTTAGTTAGCTCTTCTCCCATTGTTGGGCATTTATACATTTTTCACTGTTATACTTACTGTGAAGAAATTGTACACAAAAATTTGACAGCATGTCTCTGATTGATTTTGGGGGATGTTGTTGTTGTTAAGTACCGTGGAGTCGATTCCAACTCATAGTTGCTATAAATCTTTATGGGAGAAGAAAACCTCATCTTTTTCCTACAGAATGACTGGTAGTTTCAAACTGCTGACCTTGAGGTTAGCAGCCCGAGTCATAACCACTACGCTACCAGAGCTAGGGCCCAAGAAATTAAAGGATTAAATTTGTTAAAGTTGATGACATTGCCAAATTGATTTGTAAAGTAATTCTGAATGAATGTTCCTTTTAACAGCATATGACAATGCCCATTTCACCTGGCTTTCATCACCGTGTTTTAGGATTTAAAAAATAACAATAAAGAGTTTTATGTGTCTTATGAAAGGGACAACAGATTGGCACACTAGTATGTCTTGGCCAACTTCATGAAGAAGTGGACCAACGCTGTCAACAGCCCCACCACAGACCGTATGCCCCAGAGCCCAAGGTTCAATCCAGTAGCCAAGAAATAAACGGAACCTTTGAAAGTTTAAGAGCAGGCTGCATTTACACTTAATAAAATCACCTTTGAAGGATAATTATAATTTTCAGGTGGCTGATGGTAGATTCTGAAGCCAGCCCAGACAGGAAGACAAGTATATGGTATGCTTAATAAAAAAGCAGGACAAATCTGTGTTCCATACTTCCCTGTTTAAGGAGAAAAACAAAGTCAAAAGTTTACCCAAAAAATACCTAAGCACAAGTATCAGTAAGGAAACCTCTCCCATCTCAAGACATCTGAACTTTTACAATGAACCAAACAATATTTTTTTAATGAGAAAAAAAAAATAGGTTAAATGAAAACTACTGTGTACTTCTTAACTGTCATGTCCTATCTAAAACTCAAATCAGCAAATTTGCTGTTGTCGAGTCCATTACAAGTCACAGCCACCCCATGTGACAAAGCAGGATTTCTGCTGGCTGGGTTTGAACTGACAACCTTTAGGTTAATAATCAATCACAAACTATTTGCAGCCCCCAGAGGCCTATGTACAGAAAAAGAGTACATTTAATATCCAGATTTCCTGCAGGAATAAATAGCCTTTTACTTTGGGCTTCAAGAGCCTTGGTTTTCAAGTATGATTATTAGCTTCCCATAATGTGTCAACGTAACTTAATGTGTCAAGAAAAATCAAGCGAGGCATTGCATTAGGTAAATCTGCTGCACACGACCTCTTTAAAGTGTTGAAGAGCCAAGATGTCAGTTTGAGGACTAAGGTACCCCTGACCCAAACCATGGTATTTTCAGTAACCTCACATACATGTAAAAGTTGGACAGTGAGTAAGGAAGACCATAGAAGAATTGATGCATTTGAGTTCTGGTGTTGTAGGAGAATCTTAAAAGTACCATGGGCTGCCAAAAGAACAAATCAATCTGTGTTAGAAGAGGCACAGCCAGAATGCTGCTTGGAAGTCAGGATGGCCGGACGTTGTCTCTCATATTTCAGACATTTGTATAAGGACCAGTCCCTGGAGAAGGATATCATGTTTGATAAAGTGGAGGGTTGGAGAGAAAGAGGAAGACCCCCAGTGAAATGGATTAGCACAGTGGCTAATGAATGCGCTCAAGCCTAGCAACGAATGTGAGCAGCAATGAATGCGCTCAAGCCTAGCAACGATTGTGAGGCTGGCCCAGGACCGGGCAGTGTTTCATTCTGTTGTGCACAGGGTCGCTATGAGTTGGTACCGACTAGATGGCACCTAACAACAACAACAACGTGTCAAGCATTACATATAATACAAAAAGTTGTAAGATGTATTATTTGCACACCAAGTATATACACCACGAACTGGAAAACGCCATACTTAGCCCCTCTAGATGTTAGAGTCTTCTAAAAAGTCAGTAACCACTGATATTTGATTGTCTATGAGTCGGAACCGACTCCACAGCATATAACAACAACAACAACAATTGTTTGATGTACACTTCTGAAAATGATTCCAAAGTTCTTCTTAAAAACTGAGATTAAGAAGGTGGTGGGGAGAAGGAAAAGTCCACAATACAGATTTGTAAGTCTCTTGATTCCATTACAGCCAAAATAGCATCTCTATTTAAAAACAATCTCCATGGTCTCAAAAGAAGGACAGTGAACAGTCAGATAACACTCACCCACGATATTTCCAGGCAGAAAAACAATGATGCTCATAATAATTGATCCAACCCAATACAGACCAATGGTTCTGTAACTCTCCCTGTAACAAAAATCTTGATTTAGTGCACTTGTCTTGGAATCTTATTAATAAAAGATGTTTTCCAATATTATTTCATGTTCTTACAAATAAAGTATATGAATCAAAACATAATGGCTCCTGGGCAAAAAATTAAACACAAGAATTCTGGTGATCAAACTTCAGCTCTATCTGCGATGTGCAAAAGAACAGACCTTCTTTTGTCCTTTTGAATCGGAAATCATCCTTGATACACTGAATTTAAAAAAACAAACAAAAGTACACTGTGATCATCACCACCAAAGAGATCCTGCAATCCTTGTGGTTGTGTGTGTATGTGTGTGAAGGGGTATTGTGGAGTTGGTTTCAACTCATAGCGACCCTGCGTAGGATATCCGAGGCTGTAAATATTTACGGGAGTAGAAAGTAGTAGTTCGAACTGCTGTTCTAAATTAATGTTGTTGTTATGTGCTGTGGAGTCAGTTCTGACTCATAGTGACTCTGTACAGGGTTTCCAAGGCTGCAAATCTTTACGGGAGCAGAAAGCCTCATCTTTCACCCATGAAACAGCTGGTAGTTTTGGACTGCCAACCCTGAGGTTAGCAGCCCAATTCGTATGTGTGGGTAATCAAATGTTTTACAGGGACGTTCCCTGAGGTCACAGACTTTTGGCCACAGTCCCAAGGGTGAAGATAATATAAGTGACAGATACCCCAGTGTCCTAAAGCAGGGGTGGAGAATGTCCAGCCCACGGGCCATATAAGGCCAGCAAAATCATTTGGTCTGACCCTGCCAAGGCAACCGCAGCTCCGGCCACCACCTTGCTGTTGTTATTGTTAAGTGCCATCAAATTGGTTCCAACTCTTAGCAACCCTGTATAGGTTTCTGAGGAGCAGCTGGTGGGTTTGAACCACCATCCGTGTGGTTCGCAGTCCACTGCTGAAGTTCAGCTATCACCTTGTTGATGTTGTTAAGTGCTGTTGAGTCGATTCCGATCCATAGCGACCCTGTATAGGGTTTCTGAGAAGCAGCTGGTGAGCTTAAATCACCGACTTTGCAGTTCAAACGGCTTTGCCGACTGGTGCATTAACCCACCATGCCACACCAGGACTCCAGCTATCACCTTGTTGTTAAGTGCCGTCGAGTCGATTCTGACCCATAGAGATCCTGTATAGAGTTTCCAAGGAGAACCTGGTGAGTTTGAACCACCAACCTTGCAGTTCAAACAACTTTGCAGAATGTTTGACTATATCTAGCAGGCTAATTTTTAAATTGATAATTTTGTATGGCCCGTGAATGATGGTATAAGTTTTGGCAGAATCAAGGTTCCACACCCCTGTTCCAAATCAATTGCTAGATGTTTGTTCCTAATCTTTTTAATATGCTGTGTTGTCCCAAAAATCCTTCAACAAATAACCCCAAGAGCTCAGCTCCACCCTATATAAGAGGCTGTGAAAACTTCAAAGCAAGATTCTCTGAAGGGAACCACTGTAAAAGAAAAAAATTCTATGTGCTTCTTGCCACTTCCACCCTCAAGACAATCGAGTGACCCCAAGAGGCCATTCACAGTGACTGGGGCTGTCAGCAGGAGGACAGACAAGAATCTTCCTCCTCAGGGGGAGGAGGCGGAAGAACAAGGTAGACAGGGGAACACTGACACAGGTTTGCATGGCATAAGTGGGACAGAGGTAAATAGTGATATATGCTCAACCTTGGAACAACAGGGCTCTGGGATACAGGGATCAAGGCATAGTCTGAAGAAGGGAAATGATGTTAAGATGCTTGACTGTCTTATGAACACTGGTTTCCCTTGCCTTCTATTGTAAAATACACACTTGACACTTGAGTGGGATAGAAAGGAATGTCGGGAAACATGAATACAGAAAGTTTGTAAGCCCATCTTCAGCCTATAACTAATTGGAATATCTAAAAGGGGTTCTAGAACTTGCCCAGTGAAATAGACCTCTTGTGGAGTCTTTGCAGTATATAAGACCTTAGGTGGAATCCTGAGCCCCATCCAGAACCTTCTGAGGTGGGACATTCCCACTAGAAAGGACAAGCAGACCAGCCTAGAACAGCTAGAGCAACAGAAGATACATCTTCAAAGGAAAATCACCAGGAAAAAAAACAAAACAAAAATGGCAATATGACTGACTACTACAAGAATAAGCAAGCTGTTCGCTGGGAAGCCATCAAGGCAATCAAGTCCCTTCAGGACCATCCTCTAAGACTGAAACTCAAAAGGAACACATGAGCAGGCATGTAATCTTGCTTGCCACCACGTTGGTGAGTGGAAGAGGGGGAAAGGCAGCAATGAAGAAATGGGCCGAGTTCAACCACAGTCCACTGACTCCCATTGATTTGGAGATGAGAGACAGAAGAGGAAGGGCTGGTTGGTTCAAAGTGTGGTGAGACCTGGGGACACCTAAGCCCATGGACAAGGACACAGCCACAGAGGGCTAGAGCTAAGAGTGAAACATCCAATTGACAAGAAGTGAGCGCAGACACATAAGAACACTAAAAGATGCCTATAGTAACTAACTATATGACCTAGCCCTGATGGCTTGATTATCAGAACTTGACTAGAGGGAGATAAGAAAAGAAAATTTTTTTTATAAAGGAAAAGAGGGTAAATTGCTACAATTTGATGAACTTGACCTATACTCATGGATGTAGTAGCTCAAAATACCAACAGCGAGGGAAAGTGTCTTCACATCAAGTATCGATGCTCTCCCCTCTGTATACACAGTAGATAGGGATGGGCAACTTTGACATCAGCTACCTAAAATGAGGGGCGATAAAGGCACAAAGTGACTGGCTTACAAGGTTTCAAGAGGGAGTTTAGTTTAAGAGTGTGTGGGGGAAGAAAGAGTCCCCACTGAATAGTTTTCCTCTTACCTAAATGGGTCTGGTGAAAAGAGATGGGGATAAGATTCATATGATTCAATAGTGAGTAATTGTTATCATTACTAATTGCAACAGTCACAATTGTAAAGGTGGAAGTTTTGTAACAAAAATAGGGGAGTGGTTAATCTTACAGTCCAGAAACAGAGGACCCTAAGACTATCAAGGAAGAAGAGCACAAGCAAAATGCGGGACCCTATCCAGAGAAGCAGCGACACCAGAGATGGAGGCAGAGAGAGAGAGAGCAGTGTCTCATGGAAAGAGAGGGATTGGGTGCTGGTGGCCAGGAGGCAGGCTTGCAGAATATGCCCTTTGGTTGTTGAAATTATTATATATTCCTGAGTGTTTTTGTGTTCATCTCCCCACCCCACCCACCAAAAAAGAAAGAAAACCAGTGGGAATGGAAGCAAATACTGTTGAATGATGATGCACAGGAGATCGTAATCACTGCAATAAAACGAAGGTGTAAAGCTGATGTTCTCCTGTGTAAACTCTCTCTCAGTTTACAATGTTAAAAAAAAAGGAAGAATCTTCTTGGTCAGCTGGGTGCTAACTTACCTGCAGAAACACTGTGACCCACTCCTGTCTGCCTCCAACCAGACCTCCAGCAGTTTCTCCCAGAGCTTGGGAAGATTCAAGATAAAGGCTGGAGCCGAGAAAAGTCCACACATTGCTTGGAGCTACCTGAGTGCATGGTGAGGATAGGGGGGTTGATGGTTGGCTGGTTAAACTGCATTTCACCACTGTAAGGGAGAAGAGAGGCACCCTAGTGGTGTGGTGGTGAAGAACTTGGCTGTTGACTGTGGTCCGTGGTTTGAGCCCACCAATGGCAGTAAGTCTGCTTCCATAGAGATCTACAGCCTTGGAAACCCTATGGAGCATATCTACATGTCAGAATCAACTCAACGGCAGTGGGTTTGGTCTAGCTCTCAGAGATGAGACAAGAATGTGTGACTTTCTCTCAGCAAGAACCTAGTGGATGCCTAGGAAAGTAGCTGGGCTTGAGCAGTGTTAAAAGGGTCCCTCCCTAAAGGGCATCCCTTCTGGGTGATGGAGGCCCCAGCAAAAAGAAGATGTGGCTGTACCACCATGCCAATGCAGCCAGCAAAATGACTGTTCACTGCAGGGACTGATACAGTGCAGCGGTCCCTGAGGTAGGGCTCTCCAAAGAACCCACACATGTGCCCCAGGAAACAAGAGCTGGTTTATCACGATAGAGGAGTACCACTTGCTAAAAAAAAACAATAGCAAGTGTCACATAAGACTTTGTGCTTCTGATCCCATGTCCCCTCAAGGAACCAGCGGCAAGGCAAGTTGAGGACTGAAAATAGAACCGGAAATAAAAGGACAGATCCTTACTTTAGTCTCACGGTTAGGTCTGAGCTGGGGGGAAAGAAAAACGCTTTGAACTGAAACAAGATGTAAGTTTTGACTTAGAACATGCAGGGCTTGTTAATATCTGAAAGTTGACACAGAAACCAGTTGCCATCAAGTCAATTCCGAATCATGGTGACCCCGTGAGTGCACAGGACTCAAAGCTATGACCTATCAGAAGCCTTTTTTCTGAGGTTCCTCTGGGTGGGTTTGAACCACCGACCTTTTGACTAGAAGTTGAGCACTTAGCCATTTTGTATCATCCAGGGACTCCTATTGCTCTTACAAGAGAGCATCAGCAGCAAGCTAAGGGGTCTGTCTGCCAGAGCCATCCTCCTGACAAGGTAGTAATCCAATGGAGAATGTTTAAAGGCAGTGAGGGGAGGAAAATAAGGCCCTTCGAGGTAGCACCCATCAAATGTGCATCCATACCTGCATATTTTCTTGTTCATGTATTTGCTTCTACAGGTGCATTTTCCTTACATACCCGCTTGCCGGTTGCCATGGCGGCAAGGCGCACACACAAGAGGTGAACTGACTTACTCCCACGCTATGGCAGCCACCATCACCAGGTACATCAGGTAGTGAGCTGACCCATCCCAGTAGCAGATCATGTGCCCGTATGCAGTGTTCAGATACGGCTCTGCCTAGAGAGAGCAGGAAGAATAAGGCTGCTTAAATAGGACTCTGGTATTTCAAAATAGAGCAACAGGTCTGAGCTGCAAGAGAAACAGAGCGGTACAACTTGCCTGTGCTCATTGGTTATAAGACGAAACTCTTCTTTATCAGATAAAAGTGACAAATTGGTAGGAACGTGAAGACAGGACTTTCTCCGTTAGTCAGTCATAGCGTCTCTCAGGAGAGAACCCAGGAGGTAACACCTGGCTGATGGGCCTGCACTGAACCAGCACAGGTTTGGATCATGACAGGAAGGTAGATGGTACTACAGGAAGTCCTGCGTGCTATAGCAAACTCCAGGACCAAGCTATGACTAAAGGGTTGCTTGGTCATGGCTGGAGGGGAAGGCAGGGAAGACCAGGAGTCTGAGCCACTGGGCAGCCACACTGGCTGGCTGAGCTGGGGCTGAGGCAGGAACTCATTCCTCACAGACAGACATCCCACAGAATAGACCACACTGAACTCAGAGCTTCATACCCAGCTCTTCCTAGAGGAGCCCTAAGGCATACACACACGGTTTACTCTACAGAAGGAGGAAACAGAGGCTCTAAGAGGTTACAGGATGAGTTCAAAATTGGTGGGAAAATTCCATCATCTTTTCATTCCAGTTTTCCACAAACTTTTGGAAGCCCCTTGGAATCTAGCAGAGAGTGTTTAACTGCAGGGGAAAGTCAGACATTCAGCTGCCAAGGGCAGCCACGCTTCTCCTGAGGAGTTTTAAGTTCTATGAATACGAGATTATACAAGGAGTGACATCTTCCTTTTCCCAGTAGCTCTAGGCAGGGGTTGAGGCTCTCAAATCATTTAGTCTGGCCCTGCCAAGGCAACCGCAGTTCCAGCCATCAACATCATTGTTGTTGTTAAGTGCTGTCGAGTTGGTTCCAACACATAGTGACCCTGTATAGGGTTTCTGAGGAGTGACTGCTGAGTTTGAACCACCAACCTTGCAGTTCAAAACAACCTTGAGGTCGAGTGCTTATCCTATGACGCCACACCAGAACTCCTTGACCAAATATGGTGGTGGTTTTTAAGTTGAGAATTCTATATGGCCAAAGAATGATGTTAGCAATTTTGGCTAAAAAAAGGTTCCCCACCCCTACTCTAAGGAACTCTGGTAGCATAGTGGTTACGAATCGGGCTGCTAACTTCAAGTTCAGCAGTTCAAAACTACCAGTTGTTCCACAGGAGAAAGATGAGGCTTTATGTTCCTGTAAAGATTTGCAGCCTCAGAAACCCCGTGCAAGGTTGCTATGACTCAGAACTGACTCCCTGATACTTAACAACAACAACAACAACTCCTACTCTAGAGAGTCACTTGCAAGTGCATGTCCCTCAGTAGGTGTGGTGGGTGTGCCAGTGTGGTGGGTGTGCTGGTGTGGCTGGTGTGGCAGGTGTTGGTAATGTCATTCTACTTCCTTGTCTTCCTCTCTGCCCTGTCTTCATCCTCTGGCTTATTTCACCCAGCTCCTTAAACTGCCTTAAGCCCTTTCTACAAAAAGGAAGTGTGAGGCTCAACCATCTAGCAGATGTCAACCAGTCCTGGGGTGAGGCTTTGAATCTTCCTGATCCCCTGGGACATGCAAGCTGTGCTTCTCCACTGTGCTCTGCTTGCTTTTATTAGTTGCTATCCAATCAATTCTGATGCCTAACGTCCCTACCAGCTGGAGAACTATCCCATAGGGTCCCGAAGGCTGTGATGGAGGCACAGAAGCTTAAGCATTTGGCTACTAAACTGCAGGGTCAGCAGTTCAAACCCACTAGTTGCTCTGAGGGAGAACCATGAGGCTGTCCATTCCCATAAAGATTAGCAGTCTCAGAAACCCTAAGGAGTAGTTGCATTCTGCCCTACAGGGTCACTGTAAATCAGAAACAGTTCTAAGGCAGGGGCTGGGGATCTTGACGGAAGCACACAGCCATACCTTTCTCCCATGGAGGGGCTGGCCGTTTGAAACCTCTGACTTTTCAGTTAGCAGCCAAGTGCTTAGGCTCTGTGCCACTGGGGCTCCTTGCTCTGACTGGTCAGTGTGGTTGCTGTTAAGTGCCACAGAGTCAGTTCCAACTCTGAGCGACCCTGTACAGGGTTTCCGAGGAGTGGCTGGTGAGTTTGTACCGACCTTGTGGTTCAAACTGACCTTGCAGTCCAGTGCTTGTCCTACAGCCCCACACCAGGTTTGTTGTTGTCAAGTGCCATCAAGTCAGTTCTGACTCATAGTGACCCTGTATAGGGTTCCCAAGGAGCAGCTGGTGAGCTTGAACTGCCAACCTTGCAGTCCAGTGCATTAACTCACAGTGCCACACCAGGTAAGACTTCCCAATTTCACGGCTTTCAGACTCATTCCGGCTCTAGCTTCACCTCTGCTGGTTTCCTGCTCACTTCAGCTCCCCTGTATTCATCCGCTTCTCCCCTCAACCAGCCTCCCATCTGGGTTCTATCAATGACAGTATGACTCAGCTTACCCAGGCTCAGTTCCTCAGGGTCCTGGTTCGTTCCTCCATCTCCTAAGCAGTTTCTCTATATATATAATGTCACCAGGATAGCCTCCCTCTTTGTGCCCTTCACGGCTCCAGTTCAAGCCCACACTGGACCACAGCTATTGCAAACTGGTCCCCTCCCTGTGTATTCTCTTTCCATCACACTTTTGCCATCTGATGAATAGTCATGAAGCCTGCTCAGAAACCTCCCAAAGCTTGTGGCTGCCTGCAGGCTCAAGTGCCATCTTCTAGATCTAACAGCTGGGTCCCCAGAGCTTAGCCCTGCAGACCTCTATACCCCACTCCTCTTCTCATGCCCCTTCTGCCCCATCCTGCCCCTGCTCACCAGCTCAGCCTCTGGACCTTCTCAGCAGTCTCACATCCAAGTCCGGAAGCCCTGCCCTCTGGGGTTTCCTTCTGCTTCTCTGCTTACTCCCTCATAGTCCACTTCAGAGGGATTTCTCTCTCTCCCAGTAGCTACAGGCTCCAAAGTTCCAACATAGGCCTCCTTTCTCTCAAGCTCCTCCTCTCTCAGGCCTGTAGGTACCAACTGGGCTCAGATGGTCCCCAAGTCTCTGCTCAGATCTTGCCGAGTCCTGCTAAGCTGGGACATCTGCCAGGATGTCCCTCGAGCACCTATACCCCAAAATGTCCTTGTAGACCTTGCATTATTCAGGCAAGCAGCAGGGAATGCTAGTTCTCATTCCAAGCTTTCACCCAAGCTGTCCCTTCTCCTTGGAATGCCCTTCAACTGCCTAGTCTCTCTGGAAGATGATCCATTTCATCCACAGTCACTGCCATTAAAAACCAGTGTTAGAGCGGTGTCCCCACCTGAATGAGACCCACCCCTACAGCTCCCAGAAGTAACTGGGCTGGCCCACCTCCGTGGACTTCAGCACCTATATGAGCCCCCATCTCGGCTGCGGTGTGATCAGACACCAGCATTGAATCCCCCTGTCCCATCAGGAGCCCAAGTCTGTGGGATGAACTCTGTCTCTCCTCCCTTTCTGGTGTCTTCACACCAGCGTTCTTCCAAATTCCAAACTGGGAATCAGGAAGTCATCTTGGATTTTACTTCCCTGTCACCTCAACTTGTCCCCAAGTCCTGCTCATTCCAGTCACTCAGATTCTCTAAAAGCCATAATCCTCTCTGGTTCCCAGGCACCACCCCATTTCAGGTTCTAGTGTCCTCCTTGGCTCCCCACAAAACTCCTGACCTGTGTCCCAGCTCGTGGCGTTCACCCTTCCCTTCAAACCATCCTTCCCAGAGCTGATGCACTGTTCGGATTTAAAGTCTTCCCTCACATGTGTATACAAAGCTCCCTGGTACCACAAACACAGATAAAGACACACTTTCAGCTCTGCTCTTACTGATGAGCAAGTCAATGAAGCTCTCTGGGGATAGATTTTCCTTCCATAAAACAAGAAAACAGGATGAGCTTTGTCAAATGCCATGTAGCTCATGTGCTACGATTTGGTGTGTGTGTGTGGGCAGGGCTGGGGAGTGGGGGGCAGGCGGGAAACGTTGATCATCACAATCTAAGGGCTTCATTCAGTACCTTAGTCTTTTATCAAGCTAAGACTGGCTTAGACTTTCTGAGGTAGAAATGTGTTTACAACCTTGTTAGCTGCCATCAAGTCAGTTCTGACTCCTGGAGCCCCCGTGTGTGCAGGGTAGAGCTCTTTCATAGGGTTTTCAAGGCTGCGACTTTTCAGAAGCAGATCGCAGGACGTGTATTGCAGTGCACCTCTGAGTGGGCTCAAACCACCAACCCTTCGCCTTGAAGTCACGCCCTTGATCATGTGTGCCACCCAGAGACTCTTCATGCTCATAAAGTGTTGCTGTTATTGGCTGTGTAGTTGATTCTGACATATTCATAATTGTTGTTGTAAGTGCCATCAAGTCCGTTCCCACTCATAGCGACCCCGTATAGGGTTTCTGAGGAGCAGCTGGTGAGTTTGAGCTGCTGACCTTGTGGTTAGCAGTCCAGTGCTGATCCTACAACTCCAGGGCTCCAGACACTAAATTCATTGAATGCACCTCACTCATATTAAGGGCAAGTAAAAGGGAAAGGTGGCCATCTGCTGACAGGGAAGGAGAGAAGAGTTCTAAAGGCTGATGTGGAAGGGGACTGGCCCATGATCAGATCTTAGTCTTTGGCGTCATTTTCCATGCAAATAAACAGTCCAGGTCTATTGCAGTAAATGAAATTCTGTGCATCATACCAGCTTACATTAAATTAGAACATTTCTGTCTCTGAGCAGAATGGCTTGGACTCCTGAGCCTTTGGGTTAAGGGTCCGAATCACCAAGAGTCCCGTACCTCTCTCAAGTAGTGCATCATGAAGCTGTCAATGATTCCATCTTGTTCCAGGCCCACGATGAGGTTCACCACACTGGTAAATCCAAAGACGGCATACACTAGAGCAAAGAAAGCAGCGGCTGAAGAAGCTGTAGCTCAATAATTACAGAGGGCTTGGCATTAGCCAATACTAATGGATTTCTTTTCAGTGGTTTCCAGAATATAGCTCCTGCAAATCCAAACAACACTCGGTCCGTGTTCACAAATTTCCCCAGTTAGGGCACACCCATTACCGGGACAGAGATCCCCACGAGTCAGAGTCGACTTGATGACTCCTATCCTTCACGCCTGTCTCAAATGGCTCCCAGAACCCAACTTGCCTCCCACCTGAGGGGCCCAGGAAACAGAGAGGTGACCACCAGGTTTAAAGTAATGACTGAAGCCAGCTGCTGTTGCATGGACTCTGAGTCAGAGTGACCGTACGTGTGCTCCACAGAGGTTTTCAATGGCTGATGGTGTATATGACAAGGACTTTCTTTCAAAGTGTCTCTGGCTGAGCTGGAACCTCCAACCTTGTGGTTACTAGTTAAGCACATTAACCATTTGCACCACCCAGGGACTCCTAAAATAACAACTTAGATAAAGTAATTCACTCAACCACTACTAAGCAGGCCAATTCCAGTTTGCCCCATTCCATACTGAAGATCGTCAAGACTGACCATTAGCTGACTGATGCATTAGCTGACTGATAAATGGCTCTTTTAGGAGCTCTGGTAGCGTAGGGGTTAGGAATCGGGCTGCGAGCCGCAAGGTCAGCAGTTCGTAACTACCAGCGGTTCCGCGGGAGAAAGATGAGGCTTTCTGCTCCCGTAAAGATTTACAGCCTCGGAAACCCTGTGCAGGGTCGCTATGAGTCAGAACTGACTCCACGGCACATAACAACAACAACAATGGCTCTTTTAAAAGGGCCAGTTGGGCAGGAAGGTAAGAGAAGACTAACACATGAAGGTACAATGGATAAGGAAGCAAAGCAGTAGCATCCTAGGAAATCTTATTATAGAATCTCTGAAACAGACCTAAAACCCTACCAACCAATATCTTAACTAGTGGTCCATCAAATCTGTCATGAGAGCTGCATTTCAAGTTGTAACAAATCAGTGCCTTGGGCATCATGATAGGCTTCTTGTCGTGAAGTGCTGTCGAACTGGTTTCAACTCATAGCGACCCTGGATGGAGCTTCTGAAGAGTGGCTTGTGAGTTTGAACTGCCAACCTTGTGGTTCAAATGACCTTGCGGTCCAGTGATAGAACACCACACCAGGACTCTGTGATAGATGGTCAGTAGAAAAATGTGATGATGTAAGAAAAGCTGTGGGGAAGGTTATTTCAAAGAGAGGAAAGTTGGCCTTGCCTCGAGTCTCAAGCCAGGAGTTTGGTATTTACATTTTCCCCTGATGGAGTGAGAGCCGAGACTAGCCTGCCTTTCCTGCATCTGCACAGAGGCCTCTGGCCCAGTTCTCTCAGACAGTCACTTTCTGACACTGCATTTTTCAGAATCCTCCCAGGTGATTTAGTCGTCACAGGTACCCCAGAAAAGGAAGTGCTGAACATTGGGTTGTTCTACTGACGATCTTCTGATGCTGTGAGACCCCGTGTGAGAAATGGCAAAGGCAGTCTCTGTTCTCTAGAGGACAAGGCCTGATCCTGATACTGCAGTGGGATCAGACACAAATACTAAATTCACTGAAAGTTCCACACTTATATTAAAGGAGCCCTAGCAGTGATGGATTAGCAAAGTGGCAGCATCCATGGGCTCAAGTGTGGCAACAATTGTGAGGTTGGCCCAGGATTGGGCAGTGTTTCATTCTGCTGTGCATAGGGTCACTATGAGTTGGTACTGACTCGATGGCACCTAACAACAACAACAAGTGGTGATGTGGGTTAGGAACTGGACTGCTAACTGAAATATCAGTGATTCAAACCTATCAGCAATTCCTAGTGAGGAAGAGGAGGCTGTCTGTTTCCATAGTTTTATAGCCTTAGAAACCCTCTAGAGGGTCTCGATGAGTCCAGATCTACTCGATAGCGGTGGGTCTTTGAGTTTTGGGTCATTTATATTAAGTGCCCATGAAGTGGAACACAGGCAGGGATGTGGGCACAAGAGAGGGAGTTCCAGGCTTGGAGGAGTTGGGGAAGACATCAGAGTGCAGGTAAGTGTGGGCTCCATGAAATGGGGAGTTCCTGGGTGGTTCAAATGATTAACGTACTCAGTTGCTCACCAAAGGTTGGAGGTTCAAGTCCTCCCACAGGTGCTTTGGAAGAAAGACTTGGCAATCAATCTATTTCTGAAAAATTATCCATTGACAACCCTATAAAGCCACAAGAACACCCAAACTTGCAGACAGTACCCATTTGACCCAGCCTCAATGGCTTGATAATCAGAACTCGACTAGAGGAAGATTACAAAAATTTAAAAAAAAAACACAACGCATTTTTTTTGGATAAAAGAAACGAGGGGAGATTGCTACAATTTGATGAACTTGACTTATACTCATGGAGGTAGTAATTCTAAATACCAGCAAAGAGGGAAGAAGTCATCACATCAAGTATCAATGCTAGCCCCTCTGTATTCAGGGTATATAGGAACGGGCAACTTAGACATCAGCTACCTAAAATGAGGGGGAGCTAAAGGCACGAAGTGACTGGCTTACAAGGTTTCAAGACGGAGTTTAGTTTAAGAGTGTGTGTGGGAAGAAAGAGTCCCCACTGAATAATTTTCATCTTGTCTAGATGGGTCTCGTGAAAAGAGATGGGGATAAGATTCTTATGATTCAATAGTGAGTAATTGTTATCATGACTAATTGCGACTGTCACAATTATAAAGGTGGAAGTTTTGTAACAAAAACAGGGGAGTAGTTAATCTTACAGTCCAGAAACAGGAATCTAGGACCATCAAGGGAGAAGAATACAAGCAGAATGTGGGACCTTATCCAGAGAAGCAGCTACACCAGAGACGAAGGCAGAGATGGGGACTTGGAGAAAGGGAGCAGCTGAGGACTCTAGATTCATGGGAAGAGAGGGAATGAGAGCTGGCAGCCAGGAGGCAGACTTGCAGAATGTGCCCTTTGGTGGTGTAAATTATTATATATGCCTGAGTGTTTAAAAAAAATAAAGAGCTAAAGTGAATAGAGAGAAATACTGTTATCTGATGGTAAATGGAGGGGATTACAATCATTGTAATGAAACAGGTTGTATGATTTGTTGAATGTAAAACTGACTATCTGCCCTGTAAACTTTCACTCAATTCACAATAAAAACTTAAAAAAACAAAAACCTATAAAGCATAGTTGTACTCTGACACCATGAAGTGGAGTCAACTTGATGGCATCTGGTGGTGGCCACTCACTGGAGAGGAAGAGGAGGGACAGACAGCAGCAGGACACTAGTCTCGAAAGACAGGCAGGGTGAGATCAAAAGCACGTCAGGAGTCAGGAAGGTCAGGTGAAAGGGCTTGGGCTTTGAAGCCAGGGAGGTCTGGCTCATCCACTGCCTGACTGTAAAACCCTTGGCAAGCTATATAATTTCTCTAAGCTTTAGAGTTTTTTTTATTGTGTGTTGAGAGAAATTACTCATAAACTCATCACTGTTAAGTTTATTCTAACTCATCTAACACCATTTGTGTCAGGGTAGAACTGCACCATCGGGTTTCCTGGTTGTCACCTCTGGAAGCAGATTACTAACTAGGCTTTTTTTCCAAGGTGCCTCTAGGTGGGTACAAAACAACCAAACGTTCAATGATACCGCCCAGGAACCTGGTTGTTGGTTGCCATCATAAATAAGATTCTAACACATGGCAACTAATACAATTCTTTCCTCCCCACCTTTGCCACGTTCCACTGCAGATTGAGAATACTTCCTGAGTCACTGATGATGGGCTGAGTCACATGACTAGCTTTGGCCAACAGAATGTGAGTGAGTGATAGTGGGTCAGCTCCAAGCTTTAAGCGTCATCACTTTTCGTCCACTAGTCCCTCTTGTGCCTTTTTGAGGAGCTGCTGGCCTGAAACAAAGAAGCTGTAACCACCTGAAGACCCACAAACCAGAAAAATAAATGTTTGCCTTTGCAGGGCATTGAGATTTGAAGAGTGTTTGTTACTCAGCATTATCAAAGTAGATGCAATACAAATAAAATACACAGCAAAGCGCCCGGCTCAAAAAATGTTCAAAGACTCATGAAAGCTTTTTGAAAGCAGCATGGCACAATGGAAAAAGCATACATACTCTTGGGGGTCAAACAAGGACATGCTCACTAGGTATGGCACCTAGGCCATGCCTCAAAGAGCTCTGAGCTGGCATTTTCATTGGTAAACCAATTAACCAATAGCTGTCAAATTGATTCCAATTCACAGTGACCCCAAGTGCTCCACTGGACTTTCAATGGCTGGTTTTTCAGAAGTAGTTCTCTAGGTCTTTCTTTCAAGGCACATCTGTGTGGACTTGAACCCAAAACCTTGTGGCTAGCAGTCAACCATGTTAACCATTTGCACAACCCAGGGACAACTTCAGCTCTTTTGTTGTTGTTGTTGTTAAGTGCCACTGAGTCAGTTCCAGCTCACAGGAACCCCATATAGGGTTTCTGAGGAGCAGCTGGTGAGTTTGAACTACCAACCTAGTGATTCAAACCGACCTTGCAGTCCACTGTTTATTCTACAGCACCACACCAGGCTTCTTCACCTCTAGATTGAGGAATATTTGCTGTGTGAAGTAGATGCAATAATACTTCCAAAGTATGGAGTATTGTTTAACTTAATTCTCACAACAAACATCCCTTTATCTAGAGATGAAGAGTTCTGGTGTGCCACCAGAGGCTAAACACGTGACCTCAAGGTCACTTTAAACCTCAAGGTCTGTGGTTCAAACTCACCAGCTGCTCCTCAAAAACCTTAGGCCGGTCACTATGAGCCGGAACTGGCTTAATGTCATTTAACAACAACAACAAAGTACGTAGAGCCTTACCAGGCACAAATATGCCCCCTCGGCCCCGCGGTACATACCATAGAACAGAGGGTCCCGGGGCGCTTTTCTTTTGACGAGAACACGAGCCAGCAGGGCTACCAGAAGCAGGATGAGGGCAGCAACCCCTACAATTGTCCAGGAACTGTAACAACCAGAACAGGGATGTGGTCACTTATCAAAACAAACTGCTGGGGCCTGGAATTTCCTGACCATTGAATGCATTTGCTTCAAGCCCTGCCTCTCCCTGAGCCTGTAGTCCTCAAGCTGTGGTTAGTGACATTTATCGCTAGAACTTTGTCTGGGACTCCATGATTTTCAGAGACTGGAGCCACCAGACCCTCATTCTCTTTTGTTCCCAAACCTGTCTTACAGGCACAAACTGTGTGTCTAGAGTGCCCCTCTGCCCTACCTCACCCCCACCCCTAGGATGGCGTCTACTCTAGAAGCCCAACTTTCAATCCCCCGCCCCCACCCTACACATCTCCAGGCAGCTGACACGTCTAGCCATTGACTATGGAGCTGGCCCGGGTACCAGCCGGAAACCCCCAGACTGAGCTCCAGGAAAACACAGGAGGTATAACTGCACACACTTTCCAGGGAAACGGGAAGAAGGGGCCATATATCATGTGTATAACCGAATAGGTCAGAGGACAAGGCCAGGAAATCTTAGAAGGGAAGGAGTCAGAGCTAGAACTTAGGCCAGAATGAAGTCAGTCCAACACCTTACCCCCAGGGCCAGCACCCAACCCCAAACCTGGACATCCAAGGCAAAGCTAGGTCAGGCATACCCTGGGACTTTTTCTGGTGGAGGGGCAACACCGAGGCTGGAGGAGTTAACAAACTGGTGTAACAGTTCAGAGACCTAGATTCCAACACGCCATCATTGAGTAGTTGTATTCCCTCAGGAAAGTCAAATCATTTCATTCACCTGTTTATTAATTAATTGGAAAATTATACTGAAGAAAAAAAATTTATTGTGCACCTACGTATGCCAGGCAGGAACCCTGGTTACACAGTGGTTAAAGCGAAAGACTGGCAGATAGAACCCACCAGCCATGCCACAGGAGAAAGATGTGGCAGAGTCTGCTTCTGTAAACCCTATGGGGGCAATTCTATGATGTCCTATAGGGTCACTGTGAGTCAGAATTGACTCAATAGCAGTGGGGTTTGGATTGCATGTACCCAAAGAATGCTGTTGTTGTTGTTAAGTGCCTTCGAGTGGGTTCTGAAGCATAGCGAGTTTCTGAGGAGTGGCTGGTGAATTTGAACCACCGACCTTGCACTTCAAACTGACCTTGTGATCTAGTGCATTATCCCACAGCGCTACATCAGGACTCCTCTGTAAGAATAAGGATGACTGAGTCACTGTCCAGGCAATAGAGTAAAATAGGAGGTTTCTGGTGGTGCACATAAGTCGGTGGATGTTCCAGCTTCCTCTGTGGCATTGAGTGGAAGGAGCAGAGAAAGGATGAAGAAACCTATGTGGGTCAAAGGCCTGGTAGGTTGGAGCATTCTGTGAGATGCGCAGTGTGCGCTGTTGTTGTAAAATGCCACTGAGTCAGTTCCGACTCCTAGCAACCCTGTACAGGGGTTCCGAGGAGCAGCTGGTGGGTTTGAACTGCCCATCTCGTGGTTCACAGTCCAGTGCTTATCGGACAGTGCCACGCCAGGAATCCAGCATATGCCGGTAGGCATTTTAATGAAGGACAATCTGAGGCAGGTGTGGCCAAGAGATAGTCCCTGCTCATTCCTGACCTGAGCTCACAGCCAGTGTGAGCCTACAGCTGGTGCACTTCTGAAGGAAGAGCAGTGTAAATTGGTTCACAGTGTCCTCCCATGTTCTTTACCTCTAGGGGCGCAGGGGAGAAGAACAGAAACTGGAGCGCAGATCATCTCTGACCGCCAAGGGCAGGACCTGGGCAGATCTGGGAGAGCAGCTACAGGCTGCGAGGAAGTTGTTAGTCTTGGGGATGTATGTTTGTGTCCGGGGGTGGGGTGGGGGGGGGGGGTGCTTACTGATGCCCTTGTATCAACAGACACCTACTTAGAGGGGGCATGGGTGGGTGAGTATACGCTGTGTGAGTGTGTATGTATGTGTACCCAGCCCTTTCCTGGCCTCAACCGAATTTGGTTTTCCTTTCTTTCTTTTCAGTTGTTGTGTCTCCCCGGGCTTTCGTACAGGTCTAGTGAGATGGGCAGTACAACTCAACAAATTCAAATACAAATGTTCACTCTTCACAAGGCATTGTGCTGGGCAGAACAGACCATGGTGAGCTTTCACCTGGGCAGACGACTCAGAAGCCTGGTCACAGGGAGAGGTTACATTTGCTTGGAGGGAGGGTCTAGAAAGGAAGAGGAGACTTTTTGCTCTTGGCCATAAAGTCTAAGTGTGACTTCAATGGTCAGCAACAGGGAGGAAATGTGCCCAGTCAGAGGGAAAGTGTGAGCAAGACCAAGAGGCAAGGCAGTCTGAGTGTCCTAGGACCAGACTAGTGTGGAGTGGCTGAAGCACTCATCCGGTGGGATAGGGAGTGGGGCTGAGGCTGAAAAAGGGGTGAGGGAGGCGGGGCTGGGCCAGTAGCTCACACAGGATCCTTGTTGTTATTGTTGGGTGCCATTGAGTCGGTACTGACTCATAATGACCCTATGTACAACAACAGAGTGAAATACTGCCCACTGCTGCGCCATCTCATAACTGTACATTTGAGCCCATTGCTGTTGCCATGATGCCAATCCATGTAGTTGGGGGTCTTCCTATTTTTCTCTGACTCTAATGCACTGGGCTGCAAAGTTAGTTTGAACTGTGAAGCCAGCGGTTCAAGTCCACCAGCCACTCCTTGGAAACCCTAAACAGGATCACTATGGGTCAGAACTGACTCAATGGCACTTAACAACAACAACAATTCCACTTTACCCAATATGATATCCCTCTCCAGGGACTGGTCTCTCCTGACAATATGTCCAAAGTCTGAGAGACAAAGTCTGGTCATCCTGACTTACAAGGAGCATCCTAGCTGTGCTTTGTCCAACACAGACTGGTTTGTTCTTTTGGCAGGCCGTGGTATTTTTAGGATTCTCCTACAACACCATAACTCAAATGTATCAATTCGTATATAGTCTTCCTTATTCACTGTCCAGCTTTCACATGTATGTGATGTTACTGAAAATACCAGGCTCAGGTCAGGTGCACTGTAGTCCTCAAAGTGACATCTTTGCTCTTGAACACTTTAAAGAGGCCTTGTGCAGCAGATTTGTCTAATGCAATACATCCTTTGATTTCTTGACTGCTGCTTCCATGAGTGTTGATGGTTGATCTGAGCAAATGAAGTCTTTGACAACTTATATGGATGTTGTTAATTGGTGCAGTGGTGAGGATTTTTGTCTTCTTTACATTGAGGTGCAGCCCATACTGAAGGCTCTGATCTTAGATCTTCATCAGTATTTTAAGTCCTCTTTGCTCTCAGCAAGCAAGGTTGTATAATCTGCATATCAAAAGTTGTTCATGATTCTTCCTCTGATCCTGATGCCATGTTTTTCTTCATATAATCCAGCTTTTCAGATTATGTACTCAGCATACAGATTGAATAATTATGGTGAAAGAATACAGCCCTGATGCACACCTTTGCTCCTTTTAAACCATTCCGTGTTCCCTTGTTCGGAGATGGCAGTGCCTGAGATCATGGAAAGGAAGGAAAAGATTCAAAACCAGCTGGAAGCCTATGTAGGAATGGGATATTGGAAAGGAAGGAATGGAGAAAGAAGCGGGAGAAGCCCCTGGATTTTTAATGTGCCAACGGACAGGAAGAATGGCTGGAACCAATTCAATTCTTCCAAACACTGTAGGACTTGGCAACATGTTTGGTAACACACACAAACTCACTGCTATCAAGTCAATTTCAATTCATTAGAACCCTAGAGGACAGGATAGAACTACTCCATAGGGTGTCCAAAGCTGTAATCTTTACAGAAGCAAGCTGCCACATCTTTCTTCTACAGAGCACTTGGTGGTTCAAATCATCGGCCTTTAGGTTGACAGCTGAGTGCTGAGATACTGAAAGCTACCAGCAATACACAATTCAATCTATGTTCAGTAAATGCCACCGCCAGCTTCCCCAAACCTGAGAGTCATCCCCAAATCCTCTCTTTACTGTAATGCAATCCTTCAGGAAGTCCATCTCCCACATCCACCCACCTCCTCCCCCACCTCCAGCCCACTACTCACTACTCATGATTCTCCTGCCTGGAAGACGCTATCCCCCGGTCTTCTGGTGGGTGCCTCCTGCAGTTCAAGTGGTATGTCGTCTAAGAAGCCTTCCCTTCTTCATATCACCCGATTTCAGTGCATGTCATATCTGTCAATCTATTTGTTAGTGTCTGTCGCTCCCTACACATGCCTCCCAACTTTTTCTAGATTGTTCAAAGCTCCATCACTGGAACAGTAACACAGACACAGGAGAGACTCATACGGGTTGAACTGCCTATAGATACCACTGTAGGAATTCAGGGTCTCCCATCGACTATCTTCACAGACGTGTGACATGCAGCTGCCCTGGAAACAGCTTCTTTGAGGAGATGCACCCCAAGATGGGGTCAGACCAAGGGTAAAGTCTGTCCCTCCTAGTCAGTGTGGGTCCTGTCTGGATAAAGTCAGCAGCAAGTGGGGGCCACCACAAGGAAAGAGAAGGAAGTCGCCACCCTTGGTGTGAGCACTTAGCAGGCATGAAGAAGGGGGTTGTAACCTATGCACTGATGTAATTTCCTTAGGCCAACTGTTGAGGGCACCATAACAGGTTACTTCCTCCTCCCCAGACAGGGAGCACCAGAAAGCACAGCTTTCCTGCTGCCTTTACAAGCTTTCTGCTGCCTGGTGCACCATTGCTTAGTCCATGGTTACCCTCGGAAGCGTAGGAGGCAGATCTTTGAACCAAACCCGTTAGTTGCCTTATTCAGCCCCGTCTACTTCTATAGCATTGAAACTGCCCGCATCTCCTTCCAGTTCTCCTCCTATGGAAAGGCAGACACTCAGAAGCACTTCCCCATTCACAACATTATCTCATTGAATCCTTACAAATACGATCCAAATATAGACCATTTGGCAGCCCAGGCCAAACACATTAGTGCCAAAGTCAGGCCTAGGTCTTCTACATGGTGGCTTAGGACTGTTTCTGAAACTCCTTCCCTATAGTCTCTAGAATTAATAAGAATTGGTAAGTCTGTGTATGTCCATACATGGAAACGTTCGTGTGTCACCCAGAACGGAATGAACATGAAGCATAACCCAAGATAACATGACCCGATTTGGATCTCCCCCCACACCCGCCCCCACTCCGTCCAGAGGCTGCTCAAGGGCAGGAGACTTGACTTATTGACCTCTGTAACTCCAGATTCCTGCACAAAGCTAGCACTTGGCTCCTGAATCGAGCCCAATGTCACAGATGCCAGACTGGCAAAGACCCCAGCGCGTGCGACACCGGCAGCCTCAGGAGCCCCAGCCAACTGCTGCCCGATCCGAAAAGTTGCCGAGGCTCTTGCAGCACTGCGTCGACCCCCGCCGTGCCCACTCACTCACTCGCACTGAGCCGCCAGATGATTGAAGAAGTAGGTGACCGGGATGGCCGAGAGGGACAGCACAAAGACTCCGGTGGCCGCAGAGGCACTCATCGCCGCCGCGGGTTAGTCTTCACAGCATCCCGTCCCGGCGCCCTGCCCCAGCTTCCAGCGCACCCGCGCCCCTCGCCGACGCCCTTTGAGGCGCCCCCTGGCCGCGCGCCCCGCCCCCAGCAGCGCCCACTCTGCGCGTCCGCCCGTGACCGGCTTCCCTGGGCGCGCAGGGCCGCGGTGCAGTCCCCGCAGGCGCCCTCGCGGCGACAGCCCCCTAACCCGGGACAGGTGTCCCTTGTGGCTCGGGCTCTGCGGGAAGGCCGGCTGCGGTCCCCGGCCCTGGACACAGTGGAGAGCTTCCTAAAGAGGCGCAGGGCTGAGCTGAGGGTGGAGCCAGACTCGGGGGTGTCCGAACGCTAAGGGCCCCGCGAGATCATCCACGTGAGGAACTCGCAGTCCGGAGATGGGAAGAAGGGACAGGTGCTCCTCAAAAATGGACCCTTGATGCTAAAGCAGTCATCAGTTATGCGGGGTCCCTGTGCTAAACTCAGGCTGCTCAGTGGGTGAGCTGTTGTCCTTGGTCAAGTTACTTAACCTCTCTGAGTCTTTTCCTTCTCCGTGAAATGGAGATAATCCACATCCTAGTGTGATTATGGAATTCACAGAGTTGATATGTATGAAGTGCTCACCCTAAACAGTTCAATATACAGCAGTCTCTGCAATTGCCATTTTTTTAAATTGAAACTGATACTTGGAGACATGCAATCACATTCATCTCTGTATTCCTAAGTGCTCCTGGGAGACCAGGTCAGCTTCAGCCAGCTTGTGCTGGGCCCCATGGGGTACAAAGACTAGGAGACAAGGGATTTGCTCAGAATTTTGTCAGGCAGATGTCCACTGATTACAGTTGTTGTCTGGTGCCCTTGAGTTGGTATCGACTGATAGTGACCTTACGTACAACAGAACAAAACACTGCCCAGTCCTTCGTCACAATCGTTGCTACACTTGAGCCCATTACTACTGCCACTGTGCCAATCCATCTTGCTGGGGGGGTCTTCCTCTTTTTTGCCGACTCTCCACTTTACCAAACATGATGTCCTTCTCTAGGGACTGGTTCCTCCTTATAGTGTCTAAAGTCTGAGAGATGAAGTCTGGCCATCCTGACTTCTAAGGAGCGCTATGGCTCTGGGGTTCCATTTCAACACCAAACTCAAACCTACTGCCATCGAGTCGATCCCGACTCATAGCAACCCTATACAGGGTTCCCAAGACTGTAGATCTTTGGGGGAACAGACAGTCTCATCTTTCTCCCTCAGAGTAGCTGGTGGGTTTGAACTGCTGAACTTGGAGTAACCAGCTCATCGCCTAACCCACCGCCCCACCAGGATTCCTCCATACCAATTGCTCCATAGTAATTCAGTTTCAACATAAGTCAAGATACCACTCTCTTTTTTCAAAAAAAAGAAATAAGTTTTTATTATTATTGCCTTTTATAATCAGTAACAACAGTCTTTATAAATCTGGCAGTGTTTTGAGCAATGAATCATAAAATTTAACATCTGTGAGTGAACATCTGAAAATAACATCTGCAAATTATATGCTACAGCATATACCAATGACAAGATGCACAAGAAAACCCCACAAAAGCAGATGGTTAAAGTGCGGTTGGCTGGCGAAGGAAAGGGAAGAGAATTAGGCAGAGGACAGTTTGAGTAGCCAGAGAAGAATGGCATGCACCTAAGTGTCCATGCACCTAAGAGTCCATTTTGGGAAAGGACAAAGCCCTTAACAATTGCTGACTCTTTTTAGAAATGAGGTCCCCCGAGCTAGTCACCTTCTCAAAAGTCAGCTCTACGGGCACTTCTTGATGGCTTTCTCCAACTCTGACCCAAACTGTGACAGACCCCGTTTCTCAAGGTGGTTTTCTTACCCGTAACCTGGACATCACTTCTCCAAAACTACTTCTAATCTTCACCACTTCCATAAACTCCTTCTCCCTTGTTGTTAGGTGCCATTGAGTTGGTACTGACTCATAGCTACCTTATGCACAGCAGAACGAAACACTGCCGGATCCTGGGCCAACCTCACTACTGTTGCCACCCTTGAGTTCATTGATGCTGCCACTTGGCCAATCCATCTCGTTGGGGGGTCTTCCTCTTTTTCTCTGACCCTCCACCTTACCAAACATGACACTCTTCTACAGCTACAGGTCCCTCCTGACAATAAGTCCAAAGTATTAGAGACCACGTTTGACCATCCTGGCCTCTAAGGAGCACTCTGGCTGCACTTCTTCCAACACAGATCTGTTGGTTCTTTTGGCAGCCCATGGCACTTTCAATATTCTCTGCCAGCACCATAACTAAAAAGCATCAATTCTTCTACGGTCTGCCTTATTCACTGTCCAGCTTTCACATCCATATGAGGTTATTGAAAATACCATGGCTTGGGTCAGACACACCTTAGTCTTCAAGCTGACATCTTTGCTCGTCAACACTTTAAAAAGGTCTTGTGCAGCAGACTTGATTTCTTGACTGCTGCTTCCATGAGTATTGGTAGTTGGTCCAAGAAGAATGAAGTCCTTGACAACTTCAATCTTTTCTCCGTTGATAAGAATGTTGTTTATTGGTCCAATGGTGAGGATATTTGATTTCTTTACATTGAGATGCAATCCATATCGAAGGCTGTGCTCTTTGATCTTCATCAGTCAGTATTTTAAGTCCTCTTCACTTTCAGCAAGCAAGGTTGTATCATCTGCATATCGCAGGTTGTTAATGAGTCTTCCTCCAATCCTGATGCCACATTTTTCTTCATATAACCCAGCTTCTCTGATTATTTGCTCAGCATACAGGTTGAATAAGTATGGTGAAAGAATACAACCCTGTTGCACACTTCTTAATTTTAAACCATTCAGTGTTCCCATATTCTGTTCGAACAACTGCCTTTTGATCCATGTACAAATTTCTCATGAGCACAATTAAGTGTTCCAGAATACTCATACTTCGCAATGTTGTCCATAGCTTGTCATGATCCACACAATCGAAAGCCTTTGCGTAGTCAATAAAGCACAGGTAAACATCTTTCTGATAGTCTCTGCTTTCAGCCAAGATCCATCAGACATCAGCAATGATACCCCTCGTTCCATGGCCTCTTCTGAATCCAGCTTGAACCTCTGGAAGTTCTCTGTCAATATGTGGTTGCAACCATTTTTAAATTATCTTTAGCAAAACTTTACTCGCATGGAATATTAATGATATTCTCCAATGATTTTTGCTTTTGTTAGGTCACCTCTCTTTGGAATGGGCACAAATACGGATCTTTTCCTGTCAGTTGGCCAGGTAACTGTCTTCAAAATTTCTTGGCATAAATGAAAGAATGCCTCCACTGCTGCATCAGTTTGTTTAAATATTTCAGTTTGTATTCCATGAATTCCCAGAGCTTTGTTCTTTGCCCATGCCTTCAATGCACCTTGGACTACTTCCTTTAGGATCATTGGCTCTTGATCATCTGTTACCTCTTGAAATGGTTGAACGTCGACCATCTCTTTCTTGCATGGTGACTCTGTATATTCCTCCCACCTTCTTTTGATGCTTTCTGCATCATTCGGTATTTTGCCCATAGAATCCTTCAGTACTTCAAGTCAAGGCTTGAATTTTTTCTTCACTTCCCTCAGCTTGAGGAATGCTGAGCATGTTCTTCCCTTTTAGTTTTCTAACTCCAAGTCTTAGCAATTTCATTATAATATTAGACTTTATCTTCTCGAACTGCCTTTTGAAATTTCTGTTTAGTTTTTTTTTACCTCATTTCTTCCACTTGCTTTAACATCTCTAAACTGGAGAGCAGGTTTCAGAGTCTCTTCCGACATGCACTTTATTCTTTTCCTTCTTTGCTGTTTTCTTAATGACCTATTGCATTCTACCTGTATGATGTTCTTGATATCATCCCACAACTCTTCTGGTTTTTGGTCTTTAGTGTCTAATGAATCAAATCTTTTCTTCAGATCATCTCTAAATTCAGATGGGATGTGTTCAAGGTCGTATTTTGGTTGTTGTGAACTTGTTTTAAGTTTCTTCAGCTTCAGCCTGAACTTGCTTGTGATCAATTGATGGTCTGTTCCACAGTCTGCCCTTGGCCTTGTTTTAGCTGATGATATGAAACTTTTCCACCGTCTCTTTTCACAGATAAAGTTAATTTGATTTCTGTGTATTCCATCTGGTGAGGTCCATGTGTATCTTTTATGTTGTTTAAAAAAGGTATTTACAATGAAGAAGTCTTTGGTCTTGCAAAATTCTATCATGCAATCTCCAGCATCATTTCTATCGCCAAGGCAATATTTTCCAACTACTGATCCTTCCTGTTTGTTTCCATCCTTTGCATTCCAGTCACCAGTAATGAGCAATACATCTTAACTGCATGTTTGATTAGTTTCAGACTGAATAAGATGGTAGAATTCTTCAATTCCATCATTACTGGCTTTAGTGGTGGGTGTGCAAATTTGAAGAATAGTGGCATTAACTGGTCTTCCCTGTAGGTGCATGGATATTAATTATCCCATTATAGACAGCATTGTACTTCAAGACAGATCTTCTTCATGTCTTCTTTTTGATGATGACTGTGTCACCATTCTTCCTCAATTTAGCATTCCCATCATAGGGAACCCTGTGCTTGTTAGATTCAGAATGGCCATTTCAGTCCATGTCAGCTCTCTAATGCCTAGGATATCGATGTTTATGAATTCCATTTTATTTTTGAAAACTTCCAATTTTCCTCGATTTATATTTCATACATTCCATGTTCCGATAATTAATGATGTTTACAACTGTTTCTCTTTGCTTTGACTTGTGCCCCATCAGCAGATGAAGGTCCTGAGGGCTTTCCTCCATTCTCATCATTGCGGTCAACTCTACTTTGAGAAAGCAGCTCCTCAGTCGCATTTTGTGTGCCTTCCAACCTATGGGGCTCAGCTTCCGGCTCTATGTCTGACAATATTCTGGTGCTCTTCTTCATCACATTTCAATATTCAATATTCTGTTGCTGACAGTGTCTCACTGCTATTCATAAAGTTTTCATGACTAAACATTCGGAAGTAGTCCGTCTCTTCATCTTCCTAGTCTGTCTTCGCCTGGAAGCTCAGCTGAAACCTGTCCACCATGGGTGA